CAATATAGTCATTCCTGCAGTTTTTGGGGAGGTCACCTCCTAATAAATGTCCTTACAGAAAATCTAACTGCTCATTTTAAATCTATACTTTTACTTTTAATACTTAACTACAAAAAATATTAGATACTTTAATACTTTTACTCAAGTAATATTCCTAAAGGAGACCGAGAAAGTAACCTTTTGGTAAGATACTTGTGCTTTTACTCAAGTATCACTTTGTGGTATTTTATACAACACTGCTAATGTTGTGATGTTCTACCAAATTTATTCAGCAATGATGGAAAAATTCCATCTTTTTTAGCTTAACTGGCGTAATAGTTCCAGAAAAAGATGTGTCACCTTTGCCAATGATGACTAAAGGTGCCTTGGCTGCTTTTAAGATGGAGACAGCTTCACTGACRGCACTGTGGTCGGCCAAACTCACAGGAGGAGGAGGACAGCAGTACACATGTCTGTAAAAGAAAAAAATAAAATCAGTTCTCAGAGTGTTTTACATCTGAAACATCTGGTGCTGAAACCATGAATGATTCTGAGAAAAACCACAAACCTGACTTTGTTCCGGTCCACTTTAGCATTGACCATGTCCCCTGCAATGTCGACATAAACTGCGCCCGGACGCCCGTAAATGCTACTGCGGACCGCCTAGGAGCAACCGAACACCACACAACTTCACGTTAATATCACACAGTGACTAAATATCAAATKAATGTCTTGGAGACATAACTAAAGCGGGTTAAATGTGAATAACGTGACCTTCTCTATGACGGAGGGGATGGCTTCCAGACTGCTCGGCCTGGCAGAAAATTTGCTGTACAGACGGCACGCCTCCACCTGCAGACGATCAGAGTTAAAGCAACGAAGCCTCGTCTGGCAAGACGCTGACGAGAAGTTCTGCACATCACCTGAGGAAACTCCTGAAAGGCTCCGGCTGTTTCCTGGTTTCGGTCTGAGGACCCTCCAATAACCACCACAGGCCTGTGCAGGGGCCACATTCACGTTATAAACAACAAACACTGCAGCTGTGGTGTGCAGAYAGGTTCAAAGTTTTCTGTAATACCAGCAGTTCATGTTGGCGTTGGCCATCCCACCCAAAGCATGAATCAGTCCAGGTCCAGACACCACCAGGCATGCTCCTGGTCTGGATTCAGAGGATCAGCAGGAGACAACATGTGAGTTACAAAGCACCAGAGCAGCTGCTCACATCACACTCTTTATCTCAAGGTCTTTACCTCCCTGTCATGTATCCAACGGCAGATGCTGCATAACACGCCTGTTGGAGACAGGTTCATTTGTTAGATATAAACATGAACTTGTAATGGTTTCCAGTCTGTGAGAAACGCAGCAACTTACCGCCTGTTCGTTGCGCATTCCGACATATTTGATGCCTGCAGCCTGAGCAGCCATGGCCACTTCAATGACAGGAACACCAACTATCCCAAACATGTACTCTACTTTCTGCACACAAAAASACACGTTTAATTCAACTCAAAGTGACGCAGCTTTTAAAGACGGGTGAGAATTCAGAGTTTACTGAACCTGGCAGCTCACTTGAACTTTGACACCACTTTGTTGAGCATATTTTGCGACCTTACCTGGGTCTTCAGAGACTCAGCTATCAGCTGAGCGCCAGCCACTTCGTCCATGGCTTCTCAGGAAAAACTGCTAATTTAAAAAATGATATAAGTGTAAACTCGTTATTAGTGGACCTAAGGTTTTTTACCTCGTCTCTGCATAAACGCATCGACACTTCAGTTGATTTTCGGGGTGCGAACCAATCATCGGAATCGTTGAATGTGACGTCATACAGACGGYCTTAAAGAGGTACGCACCTATTTTACAGGATGTAAAGTTTTGATTATTTCAAAAACGCTCATATTTCCAGTGTTGTATAAGTACCTCAAAGTGCTACTTGAGTAAAAGTAGAAGTATCTTATCATAAAAAAACTTTGGTAAAAGTTAGTCTTTAAAAATATTACTTGAGTAAAAGTCTTAAAGTATTTGATATTTTTTTGAACTTGAGTATCAAAAGTAAATTTCTGACACAAAATCTACTTAAAGGCACAGTGT